CGGTAGCAGTAGTAATTGTGGCAACCGAAGTAGCGGTAGCAGTAGTACTAATTTCAGCAGCCGTAATAGTTGTTGTAGTGATAGAGTCTATAAGTATAAGAGAGTTTTTTTAAGAAAATCAGACATCTATCGTGGAAACTGTCAGCAGATGGATTTTATTTTTACTTCTTAGTGCCTGATTAGGAAGTGTACTCCATTTTAGCAATAAATTTTGATTTTTTTAGCTTGAAGCTTTTTGGAATACAGCTTAGCTACATATGACTTTTCTCCTCTTTACAATTTGTGGAGCTCCCACTGAAAACATCAGTCAAACAAATATTTTTTTTTACTTTTCTAGAAAGCGGCTCAACAGACTGATTTATTCTGATTTCATTCGACCGTTGTTGAAAATTTCCACAAGAGATACTTCTTCAAATGCGTACTAATCCTCAGAATTTAGAGTTAAACAGAGATAAAAGCTAACAAATATGCTATGAAAAAATACGGATTAAAGCGAATAAATCGAATTGGCATAGATGTGTTGAAAAATTCTTGGGTTCTTTACTTAATCTAGTAACGAAAAAATAGTTAGCACCCGTATTATTCGATGTCTTGGTAGAGAAAAATTATCATGCTGTACCACAATCACTTACCCTCGGAAGACAATCTTTCCAGAGGCATCGAAATGACGCTAATCATCTCATTATGTAGCCCGTGAAAAACTGCATCAGAAAATATTTCGGAAAGGCTTTCATGAGTAGCTATTGAATCAAAGAAAAATGTCAAAGATTGTTTATTGACTATGTGTGAGATGGAGTCTGAATGATGTTGTTGTAAATGTCAAACTTTTAATGTATGGTGCTGAAGTCTGGAAGAATGTCTGTTGTGTATGGTTCGGTACACTAGATGACGAGCTTTCAAATGATGCCATGGAAAGTCTGATTGAGTGAAGTTTTTATGTCAATTTGGTGAGAATACTTAGGGCTAACTTTAACTGAGGCTTTGATGATTATTGAGAAAAGTAGCTGTCGAAAAACTAATCCTGCTGCCCTTGCATCAAACGGTAGATGTGTTGAGTTTAGTATCAAAAGATTCGCTGTCTCATTCTGCATAGGAGTTCATGATTGCCAGATGTAGCAGTGGGCTTTATAGAAAA